TGTCACGTCATCGCGGTGAGGCAGTCGACACCATATCTTTGATTGCGACGGTCTATTAGAGCAAGGTTTGGTCAGCCTTCCGCGAAGTATCTTTTAAGACAGTTTTGTTTTGCTAATGATCGCCACAAACAATAATATTATGCTTTGCAACAGTTCCGCTGAGCTCTTTATGATAATACTGTAGCGTCTTTCCACTATTTTCCGCATGCATTGATCTTACTTGCATAGCTGACACACTTACTGACTTATTTGCATAGCTACTAACTGACAGAGTGGTGTAACTCTTTTCCGAGTGGCATTTACTGGTTCCGATATGTAAGAAAAACATACGAAGCCACATGGAGGTAGGCAGATTATCATATCGTAGTGGTGTTTAGACGTGAATCGAATAGTAGTTCATGTACATTAGGTGACGTACTTCCGCTGCCAACTTATCAGCTCGGTGTGATGTATCCGTGCATATATTGCGAGGTCGTTAATGAGTGTATATCACGCGCTCGTGATATCTCAAACCTATGTATAGGATCACTGTCGCTTTCTCGGTACATTTGCGTCGTCGTGCTGGCTTACTGGGCCTACGCTTCTGATGTATCAGTCTATATGACCAAGCAGGTCACTAACTGGTCACAGGCCATACTGCAGCGATACTGGCAAGCTGACCGCGCGTCTATCACCTGTATTCAGCGCAGTATCTACGCGCGCGGCGGGTACACCTTATAGCCACCCGCGACTAAGCCGAGCTCTTATCTCAACCATTATGGACAGGGCACTAAGGTATAGTACTGCGTACAGACAGTTCGACTTACCACACCCGCCGGTATTGTTTGCGCTACCGCACACGTGCTCGTATCTATTTAGACAGCAACTTAATCGTCGCGTGTAGTGCTCACTCGATGCTGCAGTTTCAATTTGTGAGCGCACATTAATAAAACATACGCCGTGAGCGCTGATGTCACAGATAGCATGGTTTGCATGTATCCAAGTGAGCGAGTGTACTCTCGATCTATTGTTACGCGGAAGCAGATAGGGACGGCCAACTTGCAAGGGTACACAGTAGATACCAGGCGCTAATTAATATTTGAAACGCGCTACCCCGTAGGTGCGTCAACACTATTGGCAGCGCCATAGTCAGTTTACCGTTTGTGCGGCCCCAAGCCTCGCACCGTCAACCAGTATACTAAATACAAATATAGGTAGGAAATTGGGGGCCTAAAAGTGTATATTTACCAATTACTTGCTCTTCTGCTGCTTCTTATGCTCGTTGTACTTGGCGTTTCGGGCGGTCAGCTTGCGAGGGTGGCTGTGTCTATTTTTCTTCTTGAGGTACCAGTCAGGGCCCATCACCTTCTCGACGTTTGGCAGGCTTTCCTGGCGGCGCACTTCGGCCGAATTAGGTGGTGGAGGCTTTTCCTCCCAGAACTTAACCGCTTTTGGGCCGTTCTTGCAGGCAATACAGTGCCGCACGCTGCCCCGTCCGCTGATTGTACGGAACGCGTAACCGCACTGCAGCTTCCCGCAGCCGACGCAGCGCGCCCGTGCATCCGTCGTAGACCGCTGCGGGTTCAGCAGAAGCGGGTCAATCTTCGCCTCGCATTGCTTGCACACAGGGCCCACCATTTTGCAAACTGTGAGTAAGTTAGCAAAACTTATTTGCGTCCAAACATTAGCCAATAGCACGGTACTGGAAGACTGGTATTTATCATTAGGCAAAATATTAAAATGTTTTAAAATAGTATTATTTGGTCTTGCTATAATAGTACTTTTATCATAATTTTAAACAAATACATACTTTACATGAAATAAAAGTGACTAAAAGACTATGTACTGGCGCGCATGCATTCGTCGAGTGCGGTGCACGGGAGCAGATACCGCAGTGACCGTGCAGCCGCGCGCCTTCATTGCACGGTGGCAGTGGTGAGTGTCAGTGAAGTAAAAAAGATATATATCCCTACAAAAAGCGCTGGTCGTGAAGCCTACTTTAATATTAAAAATACTATCGTTTCTACTTTAGAAAGTGTGTGGAAAATAGCATCGCCGAGCTCTTACAAATGCGGCCTGATAAGCTTATATTAATAATATTAGTACTATTAATATCGTCTTTACTTTGAAAAGTGTGTGGAAACAACATCCCAGAGCTCTTACAAAATACTGGTCTGTGAAGGCTACATTAATAATAATAAATATCTCTATTTGAGAAGTGTGCAGATTACTGTGCCCGATTTGCAGTACATACGATAGGTTTTGCGTCGCTGAATGCAATAATCAAGTATCTCCTGGCTGTTTGCATCCAATCGATGTGTTTCGTGCTCGGCAAAACTGTTTAACTTACGTCCAATCGCGAGGGCGAGAGGCGGTCTGATCGTGCGACAGATCCAGTCAGTGTCGCAGGTCGGCAGGTATTGCCCAATCAGGGCGCGAGTTAATTGTGTCACGCTTTTGGACATATTTGTAATTTATGCATTGCTAGGTCGAGTCAGAAAGATAGGCGCGGTCGGTAGGATGGGAGGAAACTGTATAAGACAGGCTAAGTGTAGCCATGCGAAAAGGCAGGAAAAAGCAGCAAGAAAGGAACCGGACGGACTTATTGACAGACGGACGGACAGGCTGCAAGTTTAGGTGGCGGGAAATACTACTAGTTCTCGGACCCTTCTACGTATTAATACTTTTTAGTAGTATATGAAACGTTTGGCGGGACCGCATAAAATATGCTCGGTATTGTGTTATTTTGGGCAGTCGCGACTTGTGACACAATGTTCAGTTTCGATCGGGTGTCGCTGCGGAAAATGTCGTCTCGGGCGTCTGGCGGCTCACGTTCAACCGTCCCGCCTCGAAAGCGTGCAAAACGAGTCGACAGGAAAGAGACCGCGTATATACGTGTATGTGATAAGCTAGGCGAAGATACCGTTAAGAAGATTCGTAACGACTGGGATCAAATGAATACAAGGCGAGATGGAAGCGAGTGGCAACAGTCAGAAGAAATAGTCATTCAGTTTCTTCAACAAGGATTATCAGAGCGAGAAATTCGAGCTGTTATACCTGTGGGTGGTAGCCGCATTGCAAGACTGCGGAAAGTACTGGAGGAAGGAGTTGAAACGCTATACACTCGTCGCGAGCCACAACGACCTTGGCATGCACTGAGTGACGATGATATTGCTGTACTGAAGAAACACTGTGAGACTTGGATACTTGAAGACGGGTTTCCGTGTGCTCATAGACGACCTCGGCAGTACTTCACCGAGCCTAATCTGAAATGGACAGTCGTTCACGGTAGGTATGAAGAAGAACTTACTCGTACAAACCCTACGGCGCGTGTCATGAGTTATTCCCGGTTCCTACAATACGTTCACTACTTCTACCCTGGTGTACGTCTTACTCGCACCGCTGAGGATGTTTGTGACTGCTGCGTACGCATCGATATTCAGCTGAAGCAACCTGATCTCAGTGATGATGAACGGCAGTCTCTTCATCTAAAAAAACAAATGCATCTCGATAGTGCCATGGGCCAACGACGATTTATTTCTTCGTTTATGAAATCCTACTCAGCGTTACATGCACCAGAACAAAGCCTTCCCAAATGTATTATTCCTGATACTTACGATGCAGTTTCCGAATGTGGAGATCTTCCTGGTACAGTGTCATGACGAAAACGAAATGGAAATTTGCCAACAAATCGAATCATCAGCATTGAATGCAGAAGATTCAGTTTTAACGGCGCAATGTGTCATTCAGATCCAGGCAGAAGATTATGGAGGTGGAATATTCATACCGTACTATGGTCATGTTCGCCCTTTGGCGGATTTTTTCAACAGCAATCTCATTTTGCAGAACTTTGTAGTGGTAGACATCAGCAATGGTGTCAACAACGTGTATTTCTATGACGAACGAGCGCAAGGAAAATATGCTAATGCGCTGTGTAGCTTACGCTTGAACTACCATCTTTCAATTATATCACGAGCTAAGCACAACGAGGTAGCACCTCCTGAAGTGAGCTTCAGTATATTGGACAATTGTGTGGGGCAGAGCAAATCGAAAGCAGTTTTAATGTTCTTCGCATTTCGTTCGGTGGTATTTCCCTACAAGAAAGTAGTGCTTTGTTATTTACTACCTGGACACTCTCACAATATTGCTGACCGCGTTATTTCTTGGTGTCGACGGGCAACTCGAGGATTGAACTTATATACACCAAAAGAATTGATTAAAGAGGTGAACAAGATGAAAAGTGTACAGGGTGTCTTTTTAGATCACACTGATGCCAATCGACCATTCTATGTGGGCTGGAACGAGTTGTTGAGCAAATACTTTATCCCACCGCCTGGGGGTTCCACCTCAAACTACCTTTTGAGATTGATTGTGGAGTTTGTACTGCTCGGATGAAAACTCTGTTTCTTTCTCGATGGTTGCCCCTGGAAACATTGAAGCTGTTTGAAAAGCTGTTCTGGCGGATCTATTCGGCCCCACGGTCAAGACAATTTTTGAATCGTCTCTTTCATCCATGCGACTCCCTCGCCACCCTGTCAAGGAGCTATCAGCGAGCAAGTTAAAATCACTATCAGCTAAATACTTCTCCATTCCCTCTCAGCACTTGCACTATTATCCAAACGTACCAGGGTCATTACAGAATGTCAAGGCCACGTCCAGTGACACCAACAGTAGCAACAACAAGAAGAAGTTGAAAAAGAAGACAAGCACTTCAGCAAAGCCACGCAGTAACCAACCTTCCATCTTGCAGTTCTTCACGTCACACACAATAGAAAAAATAAGTACTTCAAGTTCAGTCATACTAATTTCAAATCAACTTAAAAATGATACCGGTTTCTGATGGGGATACCGGGGTCCCGCCAAACGTTTCAGGGCCCTCCATGCCTTGTTTTTTTCAGTGTCAAACATCGTTTCGTAGTCGGTGGAAGTTTAGTTGTTGCTTTCGATCGTGCAGCCGTACTGCTTTTTTGTTAAATATTACTTCAAAGTACTATATAGGATTAGTACGTGGTATTATAAATCTAACCGACATCTTCGCAAAGATCTGACCATTTATCCCAGATAACCGAGATTTTCGGAGCTACCGGTAGTAGCTAGAGAGATCATGTTAGCTAGTAGCTAACATGATTTTCCTTGAGCAAATCTTAATACTTGTACATATTCGATAAAATTTTATATTGCTATACGGGTCGACATTTAATTTAACATCGACAACAGTGGACTGAAAACAGACTAAAAATGTATTTGTTGGTTTCTTCGTTAATTGAAATGCTGTGCTTGATGCAGCGGCCGCTCTGGACCATGACCTCGCACCTCAAATGCGTAGTCTGGATGCTCAATTTGGGTAGAAACGGCATCAAGCAGCTACAGCGCAGTATAAAACAGTTATATTTTGTCGAGACTACAAGGTGAGTTTGACGCTTTCGTACCTCGGGAAGCCGCTCAAATAGTTTTTGCCGGTGAATGTTGTATGCACGCTCTTGCCGAATCAAATGGCGGTATCGCTGAAAGCTGAAAACTCCCTTTTCGCATCCGAAAAGCTCACCGTCTTCAAAAATGCTAGAAGGTTTATCATCGTTTAGGCCAGCCGAGGGGTCTTCAAACAACTCAAGAGCATGCTTCCACGAGATATGGGCCTCTCCAGTCCCTCCATCCTCGTCACTCTCGCTATCCGACAAACTCGGAATATCATCTGCTCGCTTTGCAAGCGGAGGAACAGTGTTGTAATCCAAATTCCATGCGTCTCCGAACATTGATCCATTCGCAGTAATTGAGAATTCTGTAGCAAAAGGGAATACTGGTTCCACTTGTTTTCTGTCGGTAGAGCTGAGAAACGCGTCCGACAAGTAGAGTTTTACTCCATCATGTGACCCTGTGACGGACTGAAGTCCAATCTGGGAGTTCTGCCAAGCCATAAAATAAGTCGGAAACGTACGAAACACTCGGCGTGGTCGCAGGGCGTAGCTTGACTCTGTCTCACGTTGTCCTTGCAATTCCTGAAGTGGTCGCACACTAGCTTGTGGCCGTTGGAAAATGTCCGATGGCAACATTTCCAGCATTGACGGCGCACTACCAGATAGTGTTTGATCGATACTGGTATCATTTGTAGAGAAAACATCAACCTTTGAAGCTGGAGATTGGAGCAGTAACGAGTCAAGTACCCCTATTTCGTCCTTGGCACCCTGACGAAGCAAACGAGTATGTTGCAGCGGCACATACGTCGGAAGTGCCGGCAGGGGAAAAGGTTCATGCCCCATTAAAAGAGATTCATCACGAGGTTTGAGTTCCATGAACGTAAACGATGTGAACTTAAGTCCCCAATCTGCTGGTACATCAATACTCTCGCGGTGCTTCTGTGTGGTGCTCTCTTCGATTATGGGGAAACTGGATAAATAGTTTCGGCTACTGTCATCGTTTGATACTGATTCATTGCTTTTCTGTATTGCCTTCTGCATTGAAACGTTGTATTTTTCTGCCTCGGGAACAGCGATACACCCGGTTTGAGTACTTGACTGCCAGTCCAGCGCAACCTTTTCGCGCACTTGAGCCCGAGTCTTCGACCCATCAAGCCATGCATGAATACGATTGAGGCGCTTCTGAGCTCTAAGGCGCAACATACACGTTGACACGGCACGAACTAGACGACGCAGTAGACGCTGCCGTCGTGCCCACAGATCGTTCTTGTATGGTTTGAAATCCGGGGTGTACGCTGGTATGAAGTGAGCTGGAAGCACTGCAGTTTTAAGTTCTCCGAGCAAAAGAAGCTGATTGTTATCGTTTTTCTGATCACAAACGACCGGCGGATCGTACAGCACATTGATGAACATCGTGCGAAGTTGCTCTCGTTGCTGATTTGTCAGTACACGAGAGTTTTTTTCTCGAAGCTTGGCTAGATAATCGACTTGCTTACTCGACAGCAACCGCTGCCCGAGGTGCACTTTGTGGCTCTGGAACTCGAGAGTCTTTTCGGCCTCGGCCACTTCCCGGAGTTCATGAAGAAAGAACATATCCTTGACCTGTTTACCGACGCGTGTTCTTTCCAGATACCCCTCTTCTTCTTGCACAAGAGCGTGAAAGTTTAACGTCGCGGCATCTTCGTCCTGATCATCTGGAGCTTTCCCTGTGCTCAGTTTAGCCTGCTCTTCTCGTTGTTGCTGTTGGAGTGCACGGTTTCTGGCGATGGCCTTCTTCAAGTCCTTAGGCTTGAGTTTACCCGATTCTTGATTTAGCACAAAAGTCACACCTGTGACGGAGTTCAAATTGTGGGGGATTTCAATACCCCGTACCTTCTCAAGTCCCTCTCGCTCGTTGACTTCGTCGGACTGAGGCTCTTCTTTCGCGTATTCCTTTCTTCGAGTCTTCGTTTCAGTTCTTGGTGTGCTGGCCTTGCTTATTTTTGCCTGCTCCGCGGTTTGGCGTCCTGACCTTTCTTTCCCTGCTGGAGACGCTGGTGAGCCTCCTTTCAGCTGTGCAACCTCCACGGTTGTACTTCCACCGACTGCAGTGCTGGAGGACGAGCCTACTAGGGTACATATACGAGGAACGAATCCCAGTTGCGAGACGTGCAATTCTAACTCGGCACTTGCGGTCGCGTACTGCAGTGGTCGATATTCGAGCTCAATACACGCCTCACCTGTAGGAGGGATGGAACCTGTAAGTGGAAATACCGTGAACGCCGGATGCGGCTTCGTGACGCGTAGTTCGTACTCGAACTCAACCGGAACGGAGCACGTGATATCAAGAAATTTGCGGGCACAGGTACCACGCGCTACCACACCAAAGTCCAGCCGCGTTGGAAACGCTACTTCGTTCACCATTGGATATGCGTGCAGCGGGATCAATGTGGATCCACTACGAGTCACGTCGGTATTGGAACCGTATGCAACTTCTTCACATTGCACCTGGATGCAGTCGTAGTAATACTGGAACCCGGTAGGTGGCGTGAACGACACCAAAATCTCCTCGCAGAGCCCCGCCGACACGAACGATGGTCGATCAACCTTGGCAAACGTCGCTCGGAACCCTTTTTTTCCAGTTGGAAACGTGTATCGCAGTCGTATGGCTTTGGCGCTGTTGTTGCGGACGCGGATGCGCTGTTGGACGGAGCGCCAAAGCTCAAAGCCTCCAAAGTGGACGCTCGCAGGCTGCGTATAGAGAATTTCGTCCGTCGTGGTGGTCATCGGTCTGCGAGTACGCGGCGATGACACGGGCGACGCTGATGCCGAGGACACAGCGCTGGAAGTGTGGCGTCCAGGCTCCATCTTGGATCGCTTATTATCCGGCAATTATCGCAATGACTGCGACTGTTGAAGATCGCGCGACACACACCATTTTAGAGTCGGGCGACAGACATATTGGCGAAAACTGACGGTGATACTGGTACATGTACATGAGTAGCGGTGTTAACATTAATTAGCTGCACACGCGGGAGATCGGTGCAAGCACGCCAACAAGAAGCTGTGGACATTGCTGGCGCTGCGACGGCCGCCTGGTTTTCAGCAATATATGTAGCCTACAATGTATTGGGGTTACCCACGCTTAGGAACAAGCGTCTTTTTTTCAGTAGGTACAGAGCGGTACAGTGTAAAACGTATAAATTGGCAAAGTGACTTTCATTCTTATACAGAATGAAGTCCATTTTGCCAATTTAGGGACGAAATCCGCCTTTGAAACCACATAATATCTTTATGTCTATATTTGGTTTGAAAACAAAGGGATAGAGTCGGACTGCGTTCTCTGTTCATAGTCACTTCATCCCCGCCGTTAACGCGGTGTCGCAGTGGTCGCTCGCTGAGCACTTTGTGTGCACTTGCTTTCCTGCGGTGTGGTCCCACCCTCTCGGCAGCGTTCTCACTGTGCGAGCACTCAGCGCTATGATGTCTACGACTGCGTCCGACCGCTTCGGCGCTATGGAGTTAACCCCTCGCCACGACCAGCCGCTCCTGGTGCCTGGCTCGGCCGCACTGGACGCCATGGCAGCGCCCTGCGTCGTGTCCGTGCGCGTCGTGTCCGCCATCGATCTGCGGCCCATGCACAAGGGTATTACAAGCAATCCAATGGTGGATGTCTCGCTCATTCATGACGACGGTTCGCTTCAATTCCAGCGCAGCATCGGCTGGGACATGGGCAACGATCTCAAGGCGCCACCCGGACTACAGCCACGCTCTCACAGAAACAGCACATCGTCACTACCCGCTGGGGGTATCCAACATGGAATGGCCACAAAGCCTTTCAAGTCTCGAGTGATCAAGGGCTCCCTCAACCCCATGTGGAAGTTCGACGTTGACTTCGGAGACGTAGACACCGACAAGGTCGTGGGTGTGCTGTTCACTGTGCGTCACGTCGAAAAATTTGGTCTCGTCAAGAAAGATATGGGTCAGCTGATGCTGTCGTTGAGAGACATTATGGAGCTTAAGATGGTGAGTGGGCTTAGCTGCAGCTTAAAATATTGGAAAGAGTAGCGCATGACTGACATTGGCACCGTAACGTTCTTTTTTCTACAGCAACCGCCACATGAGCAAGAGTTCCATTTATTGCCGACCGATGAGATGGTCCGCCGGGAAGCCCTGGAAGGCCCGACGAATCGCAAGCCAGGCAAGCTCTTGATTCGCTTCAACGGCTACGGTGTTCCCTCAAACTATACCGTGATGACTGATGGTCGTGTGTCCAACATGGTGAACACGCTCGTGGCCCATGAGGACGAGTTCGGACGCAGCTCCAAGTCCCTTGTGGTGCACGATATCCGCGCCGAAGTGCGTAAACTTCAGAGTTTTCACCAGACGAAGCCAAGGCCAGGCGAGATATGGTTTGCCGTCAACGCAGACTGGATCCGTGCCTGGCTACTCTTTGTGTCAACGTACAAGGGCGAAGAGGCTCACAGTCCTGGCACTGTAGACAATATGCCTCTCATTTCGGACGATCTGATGGACGGCACGTTCCAAATTAAATCCGGTCTTGTCATCAAGAAGGACTTCAGGATGATCAACAAGAAGAGCTGGGATTACTACCAGAATGTCTACGGTGGAGGTCCAGCGATTGAGGTGCAAATCCCTATCGACTGCGCGAGACCAGCGCTGTGGCTAGCGAGTCTCCAGCTAGACGAAGCTGGTCGAGTCAATTCCAACTACGTTGACTCCGACTGAGGTTGCGTTGCTACAAACACATTTTGAAAACTCGTCACCGGCGTGCACTACTCCACGTCCAGGTTAGTCACTTGTCATGTACTACAGCAACGCTTGTTTTATTTAATCACATGACGCCACAAAACGATACCTACAAACAATTGGGCCCACCCACATTTAATCCCTCTTCCAATCTACACGAGAGTTGGGGCGTGTTCTTCCGGTTCCTTGGGACTGCTGGCATCCGGAGTATCTTCAGGTTCTTTCGGCTTAATTTCTGGTTGCTCCTCTTCGTCAGCAGTGCTTTCAGCGTCGTTATTTAGAGCCGGGGGCACCGGACGCAGGTGCAGCTCCACTGCACGGGACGGGCGTCGCTTAACAAGCTCCTTCTCGATCTCGCCGTCCACGTCTAGCTCCAGATCACTCAGGTCGTCCTCCCTTGGCGTCGTCCTATTACTCTCCGATGGGGCAGAGCGACCGACGGGCAAGAAACTACGGCTAAACTTGCCCGAGCTGGCGGACGAGAGCACGGGTTTCTTGCCAAACAGCCCACGTCGAAGTCTGGCCAAGGGTCCTGTAGACAGAGGCGTCTGCGTCACCTCCGGCAAATAAGACGGCATACCTTCCGCCACACGAACAGCGTTGCAGCGTAGGAAAAAGTTGCGCCAGAAAAGTTCTTCGGAGACAACAGGTACAGGCACAGCTTCCACCAGCGTCTCTCGTTTCTCGCGCAGATTGGGGTTGCTCAATAGTAACTCCATCGCCACGTCCTTCAATGTAGCGTAGTCGAATACATATTCCTCCTCCCCATCTGCAGGCTCCACAAATGTCCTTCGGTAAATCGCGAGCTCTAGGATCTTTTTCTTCACGGTGACGTTCTCTTTCGTAAGGCCATCCTCTGTGCGGACCTCCCAAGGGAATACAGGCAGCAGTTCCTGCTCTTGTTCTTCTTCCGGTTTTTGTTCCTGCTCGTCCTTCTTTTCCTGCTGCGACTTCAGCGGATCCGTCTCTGCCTCGGGCACCTCAGCCTCTGGTTCCGACACCTCGCCGAGTTTTGACATGGGCGAGAGATCATCCTCTGCTTTGGAGGTGGGGACAGTTTTCGTGGTTCGTGCCTTGCGGCCGCGGCCGGAGCTACGCGAGATAATCGTGGCGATACCGTGCGCCTTGTTGGCCACCGTCCCGACCATCATCTGCAGATCTGGTACAGTAGCGCGACATACACAAAGAAAAACACGTCAGTGTGATGGGGCAGTGGCGGGAGGATGTGTTATTGGCTTAAATAGCAGCAGGGGAGACTAGAGGACGTACTCGCAGCGCTGTGACGCATGCCAATTTCGCTGGCCCGTACGGCCGACATGCCGATCTCGCTCATACGCGCCGCCATTTTCTCGGTCTTTGGGTGGTTGGCAGGACGACGAGGACTGGCGGTGAAAGTCGCTTCTCTTCGTGCAGGCGCCGCGTAGTTACGAACGGCCAGATGGGATAAGCGGGGCGCTGCGCTTCGCTTACAAACAGACATGCAACGATCGCACGGATGGCCTCTACGTACGGTAGTTTTCGTCGAAAACTACCGTACTACATCTCAAGTTTAGTGGTGCAAAGTCAGAGCGGAATTGAAGTTACTCGCTGTTTGAGTCAGCGCAATTTCCCTATTGAAACTCGGTCAAAAGTGTACCTATTGACAGGCATGGGTGAAGTCTTTCGACAAAGACCCCTTCGGCATTCTTCGGCTGTTAAACACTTATTTCGCATTTGACGAATCAATATGACGCGCTTCTTGCAGGCTGTCGCTACTTCTACGGCACTTTGGTTGACAGTGACCGCTCTCGGAACAAGTAAATTACCCTTATACACTTAAGCGGTTAGTCTACCTAACTCTTTTACTGTTGTAGACTACGACTACAATGGCAAAACGACGTATTGCTGGCATATAAATGAGCCGGCCTCCAACTACAAGCTGACCGAGCTGGATCGCACACAGGAGTACTCGGGTACCAACGGCTGCCCCATCGCTATGACCGTCTCGCTGGACATGACGACTGTCGAGGTGAACACACCCGTGAACGTCACTTGGACAGTCGACGCCGATTTCAGTGGCACCAATCTCGTGAATATGACACAACTTTCCTACGGCCAGGACAGCAGTGGTCGAACGGCGCAAATTGTGCACTCTAACGTGCACTCCTGCGTATACCAGACGGACTGCGACCCGTTCGACGACGGTGAACAGCCTGAGGACAAGACCTCAAATCAGATTGCCAATCTTACCGACAATGTAGCCAATTTCAAGGACTCGGTGCAATTCAGAACGGCTGGACCCCACTCTGTGCTTGCACATATCATTATGCCCGACACCAATTCGTCGAAGCAGTTTGCGTACGCTGTGTACACCGAGCTCACAGTAACCAAAGCCAAGGAACAACAAACAACGGAGGCACCAGCGACCACCACCACAACCGATGACGACAGCGGAATATCGCAGGCCGCCATCATCGGAATCATTGTGGGCGGCGTTGTAGTCGTTGTTGCGCTCGTTGTTGTCGCAGTCGTTGCTTGGCGTCGACAGGGTAATAACAACGTTGATTTGAGCAACTATAGCTATCCTCCACCACCTCCTTATGATGCAGCGTCGGAGCTGTACTCGTCGGGACCAAAGGAGGGCAGGGCTGGATCTGATGCAGGCACTGCTCGAGTTACTGGGTCGTGGAGTATTCCAGCAAATAGCCTCCCAGCACGCAGTCTCGATGGCACGAACGGTTCCAATGGATCGCGCAGCTCTCGACCAGCGTCACAGGGCTACGCAGAGCACGATGGCTACACGTCTTACAGTGCTGGTTACCGTCCAGTTGATAGCGACATCCAGCGACCGCGTCGCGTTGATAGCGATGTGGAGTTGTGAAGGCCTCCGATCCAGCAAAAGCGCACGAACCCGCTCAAATTAGCTGTACATGTCTTATACAGTACTAAAAGCATTTTCGAAAGTACAATTTTTTACAAATTTTGTAGAGCAAAGAAAAAGGCTAACATGGATGTAATATTAAATTGTGATTGTTGCAAACTGGCCGGATAAAGAATGTCTAAAACAGTCCGAGATGTTTTAAGTTATTCAGAAATGTCTAAAACGTCCAAAAGGAGAGCGCCTTACGCACACAATACAGTGTCGCCATGGCACAAAAATTCTGTCTCAGCACCATCACCACCACGCCCCGCTGGGCAGCACACTTCGCAGCAAAATTCAAGCACACAGCGCGCAAAAAGGCTGCGGTTAGGGCGAATGTGGCCGCTCTGCGGCGCTCAGCCAAATCTTCGTGTGACCCACAGCATTCCTGGGAAGCACAGCCACCGAGCATGCCGCCGCGAGTTAGCTGGCGAGAGATCGCTGTAGATGTCGACGCCGTCGAAGCCGAGGCGGTGCTGGAAAGGCTCAAGTCGCTCGACATCACCAAGAGCCAAGCGATGGGGTGCACTATATGCCCGGGTGCGGACCACAAGATGCGTTATCGCCTGCTAGAGTGCAGCTCTGATTCCTGCGCCGAGGCGAGCCCTATGAAGTGCGCCTGGCGAGGGAAGATGGTGAAGTGCCTGGACAACGAGCACGCCCCTATCTTTGAGTTTGGTCAGCACAGCTCACCTGCCGCAACCCTCGCCTCCAAGAAGCTCACGCTTCGGCACAAGGCCTTCTGGCCGAGCACCGCCTACGACCTATTCGCATAAGGCACGCGCTTGCACGCAAGCTCGGCACCCCGCTGGAGGAGTTGCCGGCGTTGAAGACTGTCCAAAACTTTAACAATCATTACGCCCGCTCTCAAATGGAGAATCACGACCGCGTCCAGGAGCTCACCGCTTGGATCCGCGGCCATGCCTACACCGGGTGCGAGGGCATGACCGACCCGTTCACGTTTGCGTGGCACATGGACAATCAGGGCAAGCCCATCGTCGGAAACGGCTCGGACAAGAGGCCGTTCCTGGTGGGCATCACCACGAAGGCCCTTATTTTGAGGATAACCGTGCCCCCCGTGAATTTTATTCTCCACCTGGATGGAACGTATAAAATTAACCAAAGCGACTACCCCGTGCTGGTGATCGGGGGTTCGGACCGGTCGCGCCGGTTTCACCTTGTCGCACTCTTCGTTATGTCCCATGAGACCCAGCATATATTTCAGGTTGTGCTCCTGTCGCTTCGTCGGGCGTACAGCTGGGTCGCTGACAGGCATCTATCTGTGCGCTACGCTATGGTCGATGGTGACAGAGCGCAGTACAACGCTCTCGCAGCCGTCTTCGGCGACAACACGAAGTACCAGTTCCTGATGTGCTTCTTTCACGTGATGAAGCACATCCAGGAACGAGTAAAGCTACTTTACTCGGGTACACAGGCTCGAGTACTGCGAGAGCAGTACGATCTGCATTTCCGCGGAGTTACTCGGAGTATATGGGGATGCTGAGACCAATTGTCGGGCTGGATGAAGGAACCAACTTTAGTTCCGTTCGCGCAGTACGTATACGGGCAATGGCTGACAGGTCCATTCACGAAGTGGCAGGTAGTTATAACGCCGAGTGGCTTCGCCTCCACGAACAACCCCGCGGAGACGTTCAACGCGCTGCTGACGCGTGATTACACGCTGCGACGCAGGCTTAAGATGGGCACTTTTCTTCGAGAACTGAGTGCGTGCTGCCAAGATCAGTCAAGAAGTGCAAATACATTCGAGTTTACGGTGTGTCCGGCACCAACCCTCGCGCTTAGGGTCTCCGAGCTCGTTCGGGAGAAATTGCTGGGCGTCGGCGGAGACCAAGACGTCGACGCTGTGCGCGCTGGAGCCTGCTGCATCCTCAGGGTTATATCACTCCCAGCACCGCGTGTTCAGGTCGCGCCCAACAACCGGAGCGAAAAGGCAATCGCGGTGACAGCCCAAATGGGCGTACATTACGCACGAAAGACATTTAAAGGAGAGCCGTTGGACGGCTGGCCTGTTGATGTCCAACGGCACAGGTGCCCTTGTCGCTATTGGTTTGCCTTTGGAGCCTGCATCCACATATTGTTAGCTCTACGCGTCACTGCACATATCGACAGTAGTGGCCGAGAGGTTTTAATCAGCCGGCGCAAGCGCAAACGTGGAGAGGCCAGAGTTCTTCCGGATATTGGTCGTCCACGCACAGTTGGTGCCGCGCTCAGCTTCGTGTGACCCAGCGTGCGGGTGTGTGAACAGGATCGGTACGGGTTTGTGTAAATGCATGAAAACACGGCTTCTCAACCATGTGTGTGAGCGTTCTTCGAAGTGGTTGTTCTCAATCTTACACAATCACTTCCAGTACTCAAACAACTCATTAACCTTTTTATCGAAAATAATAATTAGAAAAAAAGATGTTGAAAGAGACTCTGATCTACGCGAGGACACTCGTCAAATGGTCGTCCTAGATTTCGTCTCTGCTGTCATGCTGACGGGCAGGCTCCTTCCAGCAGCGAGCACATGCGCATTGGAACCAGCGCTAGTTACCGTAGTGTACAGTAATCTGCGCGCCAGATTCGACATTCCTTATCACCTTAACTAAGACGCGCACGCGGCTCCTCGTTTGGTGCTCTACGAAGGCGGCGTTGGGGTCGCACGAGGGAGACACTAAGCGGGTGACCGACCCGCACTTGTGGGCATCCACATAGACGTAGTTGCCGTTGATGGACTTTGCGTTGAGCAGCAACGTATACCCCGTGTTCAGCTTCACGGCTTTCGGGGGTTGTCCCTCCACAGCGGCCGGGAACTCGGACAGCTCCCCACAGTACTCACCTAGCACGTCGCTCACGTCAAGCGACGTGGTCGGGTAGACGCCGAGACCAACGCGACCGGTGTCATAAAGCTTCAGCGTGCTCGGGGCGTTGTGCAGCAACGCTCCACAGCAGTTCCTCGGCGTACAGAACGACTCCGACGCCACGTTCTTGCATGAGTTCCAGAAGCAGTCGCCGTGGCATTCGCATGGGTCGACGTCATGAAAACGCACACCGTTGCGTTTGCACGTACTGATCCTGGCGATATCCGAAGACCACTCGACGGTCTTACACAGGGTCGTCGCTTGCTTCGGTTCTGGGTCCACAAACTTGGACCTCTTGGCGTGCAGGCTACCGAGCCCCTCGCGGACCTCCGAGCTGCTGGCCAGAGCCTGGAACTTGCAAGCCTGCAAGGCATTGGTGTGGTACAATTCGGAGCCGCTCCTCGTTACAGAACAGGTGTTGCCGATTTCGCGGTCCTGGCACGATCCACTAAGCCCTTCTCTTTTTGCTGGTGGCGTATCTTGGCGCGGGCGTGCCTGTTCGGTATTGAACGCACGTACGCGGTCGCCTCTATGTCGACAGTAGAACCAACTTGAGAAGGTTCTGCGCTCGAATGGGTGCCACCGTCGCTTCCAGGCGACACCAAGTCAATTATCTGCTTCACAGATGACCTCTCGAAGCTTCGCTCGGGTGAATAGCTATTTTTTCTCATTTCCAGCAACCACAAGACGAATGGTCTTCTCGCCAGGTACTCCTTTATCTACTCATGCCTAAGATTCGCGCTCTCCAGCGCCTCTTGAGCATCGTCTGCAAGAACTGGGCGACCACGGGACGGGATCTGGCAGCATTACCATATTGAATGCGAAGCCGCGAAGAAACAAGGCCGATGCAAGTATTGTTGCGTGCTGAAGAAGAATGGCAAGCCCAGCAGTAACCTGCTAAAGCGCTTAGTAAATCTGAAACAGTGCCTCAACGTTCCAAGAGAGGTACACGCCCGACCCCTGACCCCACGTGTCTTCAGGGAAACCGTTGAGCGCGCCGAGAGCGACTTAACCCAAGACGCATTTGAGATGGCATTGGCTAACATGCTCTGCGTATGCGCTCTAATATTCATGCTCTTTGAAGCAATAATAGCTATGATGGCTCCAGCAATGAGGCTTCCATCGCGACACACACTTGCAGATGTGCTATTAAAGCGTGTAAAAAACGAGATTCGACTGAGCGTCATCCAGCTCATTATTTAGCCGCTATACGTGTCGCTCGTCACCGATGGCTTCAGCGACACCAATAGCTTCAGTATCATTATGTATATGGTGGTTGCTTCAGGGATGCCATCGGTGTTCTGGTCGTCGTGGTCAAAGCAGCGTACTGCTGACTATCTTGCGGCAGAAATCGAAAAAGTCATCGCTGAGATTGAGCAAGATACTACAGCACGTGTAATCTCGGTGGTTACAGACAATGCAAGAAATATGAGGAGTGCAACGGGGATTATTTATAGTCAAACGTCCGACGTAGTCAGCGGCGGGTGCTCAGCACATGTCCTTAACCTCCTCAAGCAAGATGTGTGTCGTTTGTTCGCAATCTAATCGACCCAAGTAAGAGATGTAGCCGTTGAAAGATCATCTAGCGCTGCTAGATGAGTTCAAACGCCTGCAGCAGGGTATGTGGGACATCGGTCTGAGGGCAAGAGGTTTGGTGCTGCCAGTGGCAACGCGCTGGTACTCGGCGTATGCGTGCATGCGGACGGTTCTAAGCAGCCAGGACTTACCCAAAAACTATTTCTGAGCTCCGACTACGAGCCCTTTCTAGACCGCTATCGAGAAGCAGCGAGAAGTAAAAAAATACCTTTCGTTTATAACGGAGCAGATTTGTAAATAACGGGTTCTGGAGAAACTTACGTACAATAGTACGTCTGCTGGATCCAACTATTACTGCGCTTCGAGCGTTAGAGGCAGCCAATGTGTTTGTGTCGGCGGTCTACCGGTGGTTCCGCTGGCTGCGCTATCACTCCGCTTACGGTGTAACGTCGCCCGCTAAAGAAATGCGGCTCGGCAAATTGGTAGATATACAGGATAATCAAGAAGATCAGGAATCCACTGGGCATGATACTGATGAAATTGATCTGCTAAGTAACCGCGCTGAGCACGTAGCCTCCACTGGATCCACCGACGACGCCCTGTCAGTAGAAATTGCTTATGAGAAAGTAACCCCCTCCCTCTTGTTGAGCTTCAAAGTTGCTTTCGTGAAAAGATCAATCAATCTTGGGTGTACGTTCATACGAACGCGATGTGTATTGCGATCATGCTAGACCCTGCTATGGATCTCGACGCTTTAGTTGGTAGTGACGACAATATGGCGGACGATTAAGTGCGCAAAATGGCGGAGGGGTGTAGAATATTTACACCAACAGCAGGTAGTCCCAAGCTAGCGACCGAGATTCTTGCGTTCAAAAGTGATTAGCGGCGCGGAGGTGGAGTGCTGCGGAGGAAGTATTCTGAGTCGAGCCCGCGTGATTACTGGAGTCCACAAAGCGAAAAGAAGTATCCTCTATTGAAGAAGATAGCCAAGATCGTGCTCGCAATTCCGACTTCTACCGCTGCGAGCGAGGGAGCGAGAAACATTTTCGATCACATCCATTCCAGGCGAAGGAACAGACTCTCCGTTACCAAGGTTAAGATGTTGGCGTATATTCACATTAACCATGGTACAATCCAGCGTGACACAATCGATCTTGCTCAGCACCAGTCTCACCCAGATAGCGAAGCAGTTGAAGATTCGTCTTGATTAAATAAAGCCTTCAGAATATAAGTCTGTGGTGATCGCGGAGGTGCAGGCGCTGCGTCAAAAGCAAATGATCTTGAAGTTCAACAGTATTTTTGAAGCGTGAGCTGCGTTGGCATTCTGTTACGGAGGTTTAAAGATCTGGTGAAATGAAGCGTTAGCTTTACGTGTCTAAGGCTTTCAGCTACGGCACGATTGACAAGAAAGAGGAGCTGATCCAAGACAAAATAGTGGAGAAGAAGTCTTTTATAGTCTATCAGAGAGTTGTTGCTTTCTCCACCTCTTAATGCAGTTGATCGGGGATATGGACTCGCTTCTTGGTAAAGAGCTGCATGAGACGTGTATCATGGAGCAACAATGCATCGCGACGTAGATTGCGTCTCTAAAAACCCGGTTGTTCCCGCGCACACAGCGTCATCGGCACTCGTCACTTGTGTGATCTTACCTTCCACTGCCGATCATCTTTCGTCCTCGGTGTGTCCAGATCCCGCCAGGAAACGACGTTCGTCCCTCGCCGCACGAGCTTGGCTCACTTAGAGTCTACAAATCCAATCCTTCCGGCACACATCGAATCAATCGTAAGCACTATCCCTTTAAATTTTAAGTATAATGATACTACATGAAACCTCTACTGATAGAGCACCTTCGTCTTAAAACAAGCACGGTGTTACCGCCTCTAAAAGAAGCCAGCAGCAATCCCTACGCTGTCATGAATATGTGTGGCACAACAATCCGGAGAGCCGGGTGTGCGTACAATGTAACAACCCGGTTACTATGTGCGGTAGTAGAATCCGTGACCCACCGTACGAGTCTCTGACTGTGTACTGGTCCCAGGGAGCCCGAAAAATAATTTATTTCAATTTCAAAGGACATCGAGAAATACATAACGCGCGGCAATCTAAGAACTCAGCAAATATATAATTGAAGCGGTAACATTGACAAGTAGATTATTAGTGAAATAAACTACCTACCCTGGTTGAAACCACGGTGGTCACATCCCAGTACGCATCGTTGACCCTTAGATAAAGTATCATCTCCAGCGTAAACGGAGATAGCCTGTTGCGTTCATACCGTAGCACCATGCGAGCAGAGTTGAACAGCCGCTCGACAATGTTGAACGTCGATCATCGACGACTCGATGGGATGACGTCCAGCAGCTCGTACTCGCATGATGTGCCTGGTGCGACTGCTGATTGTTGTTGTCCGGGAAAATAATTTTTGGGTCGTGGTACACCAACTTTGTAAATACATATTTTGCTAAAGTATTTTTCGTAAATGAATTATTGAGAGAAACAATGAGCAATAATTGGCAATTTATATATATTGGGTTACAACTCTGGTTCCAGTTTAATTTTCCTTCTGACCTGTAGCGGAACTGGGCGGCTTCATTGACAATCGGTTTGAAGACTACCGTCCTGCCCCGCATATAAGGCATATGTGCTCTAGATAAATACGGGATTCGCTCGACATCTAGCTTAAACCTCAATTTGACCACCTACCTAATTAGAACACATGTGGCTGAATCCTACTTAAAACACAAGGCTGTACCAACCAATGGATATTCTTGAGAGCTCCAACCAACCACCCTTCTCAACAAACTTGTCGGTGCTGCTGCTCCTTGGCTTTAATTCTCTTATTTTATAATTTACACAGCCATGAGTGCTGAGCGACGTAGCTATAGGTAAGTACTGTTGACAAGGACAATAAGCTGGTGTCTAAATTCTCGTACACGGTTGAAAATCCTTCGAAAACGCTGTGCTTGGTTCGCTCCGGATCATTTTTCGCAGTGAAAGTAGATGGATACATAATACTTAAGTATAATACACGTGATTACATGTAATGCATTTGTGCAAACGATTCTTATAAAAGGAAAAAAAACAATAATAGAATTCAAAATATTAACAAGCAAAACCTCCGTACACAACGCAGCCACAACAGAAAGAAAAGACCCGTTACCAATCACAACATCATGTGAACTGCACGCAGGAGGGTTTGAGCCCTACCTGATCGCGTAGGAGGGTCAAGCCTCAACGACCAAGCCAGATTCCAGGACCCATTCTTCAAAGTCAAACAATTTGTTCGTTGTACAACACATAAGCTTTCTAAACGAATATAACACACAAGCAGTGTTGTATTCATTAACAGCACATATGCCATTATATACGGGGTAAGACGGTAGTCGGCGAATCAGATCTTAGCATTTGGCGATGTCCCAGAAGGAGAGTAGCCATTCTTAAAAACAGCGACGCTTTGCTCCTGAAGTGGAGAGGTGCCGTCGGCGAACTTCTTGGGATGGTCTACAGAGCAGCGGAACACGCCACACTTGTCAAAAACACGGCACTGGGTCCGTCTCCATGGGCATGCGCATGGCATCGTTATTGGCAATGAGCATGTTCATTTGCTGCGTCTCGAGCGCAACATGAACGTCATCTCTGTCCTCTTGCGCTTGAACGAACAACCCCAGCACATTACCCAGCAGCAGTAGCGTAACAGCATATCGCTCCGACAGAAAATGGTGATGATCTCCGCACGCACACAGCGTTTTTACGGTCTAACAGCCTCAGACGCACCGCGTGTGTTCACGATGCCTGCTGATTCATCCAGTCGTCGCGCTAGCTGCGGTCGGCGTGTTTTTGTGATTCCCATGGCCAAAGCGCTATTTTACGTGGTCTTGGCCTTCTGGTTTGCTCCTCGCTGCGGAACTGGTAGTCGAGGACGTGGGCGTGACGTTGCTGACACTAGCGCTGTTGCTGTTACCCATAGTGTGGTCCTGCTAACAAACTGAATATGTTGCCTGTCTTGACGGTCTCGTGTATCAGCATCTGGGTGTACGTTTTGCCATGCGTTTCAAGTTGGAGCTCGTACACACCAGGAGCGAGAAACCACAAAGTTTTGGCCAAGGTTTTAAAGTGTAATCGTGGCTCTGAATGTCGAGGGAGGGGGGTCTTGTTCCTCATCGTCAGGGACGCCACGTACATGTTGCAATGTGGAGCGTCCAAACGTGTCTAAAAGTCTTAATCCACAGTTAAGAAGCTAGGTTATTCGACAGTTTTCGATATTTTTAGGTTTAAACGGAATTTTGGACGCTTTCTTAAGTGTTTTAAAGTCTTTTCATTTCGTTCAAGTCCATTCCTAATCAAACGTGAGCCAAGTTGTTGGGAACGTGTAGTACGGTTTCACGGGAGGGAACGATGGCATTTTGGTACACTGCACTGAATTTCGCCATGCATTCTTCGCCCTGTCCCCCTTCCTCCACCATCAGCTCACCGACACGTAGCTACGTCAATATGGTCGTGGAGACCCCCTCCAGCAATGTTAGTACTTATAGAACGTCACCCATCACACTGAGTGTGACGGATTCATTTCCTCCGTTCACGTAGCCTTCACTGCAGAGCATGGCCGGCTTTCGCTCCGGTCCATACCATCTCACGTGGGCGTTTATGGAGAAGAGCGAGGCTACATGAGCACGAATTGAGTGAGGTAAGAAGATGTCCGAGCAGACATTCATTACCTTGCTCAATTGATTTGTACGAGGTCTAGATCGTAATGGAGAGTCAACGCGTGGTTTATTCGACAGCAATGGCTCGACATATGGTTTACTTATCACACATGTCGTTGGGCTGGTGCGCAGTACAGATTTGTGATTGCACCCTCTGAGCGACGGTGGTCACTATGCATGGTGAAGTGGTGGACTGGATGCACACAAAATGAGTCGGCTGAGATTCTAGTACGGTATCTGCTTGGTCAAGCCGATACGGATGAAGACACCCAACTGGCGGACTGCTTAGCGCGAGATCGTAAAGCGCATGGGGGCTGCCCGATCACCTTCTCCCACGTAAGCGTAGCACAACGGCTTTCACATCTCAAACATTCTCATCGATGAAAAATAGGCTAAGAAATGTCGAACCTTCAGTGAAAGCTATCGAGAAGATAATCGACGTGCTTGTCTCAATTATGCAAGCAGCACACCAACATCCGCAGAGCTCGACTCACGAAGGCACGGTCAGGGTGGCATGCGTAGGGCAAATATCAGTTCTTCCACCGGCAACAGACCAGAATGGATATGTACACGATGTATTGGTGCGCTGACGCAGCTTGTCACTTATTCAAGCTTGTCAGTGAGTGGAAATTGGTGGCAAGAAAGAAGAGCGGTGTTGTACTCAGTTGTCTAAGTTTTATTACTGTAAGCTTATCGGCAAGGATGTGTGAGACTTCTCAATTCAGAAGGGATCGTCGAGCCCTCTAAACACGGCTAATTCAACATGATCAATGTATGCAGCGTACTACACTAAGCCCTGGCTGGAGGGCAGGGCTGGTTTGAACGGTCTCACAATTAATACACTAGCTAGATGCATTCGCCTTGACAGCAAACGTCGGGTCATAAAGTCTAAGCACGCTTATCGGCTCTGAGTGTAATATGAGCCTTGTCGCAGTATTTCTGGTCTTGTGTATTATATTTGATCTTGCCAAAGTTCTTTTGTTATCGTCAGAGTAATTTCAGTCTTGTCGTTGAAGCATAGTACTTTTGATACTATACTTTTGATTTAGTCTCAATTGCCCAATGCTATTTCTATGTACCGGCTTCCTCCGCTTTTTACTGACGATCACTTATTACTGACACTCAATTACAGCCAATCGAATCACTTTATCGAAATCCTCCATTTGTTACTGACAACACAAAAATGGGCTAGGCACCGGACATGTCCCAATCCACGGAATGCAACCAACACGCAGGTGCACCGCCATCTCAGCAGCGGAAAAGCTGGCGGTCCTGGATGCATGGGAACCGTGTGGTGATATCTCTGCCGGTTAAAGCATTCTATAGCAGCCTGGATGAGTATGCGCACCAACAGCGGCGCAAGCTTATCTATCAGGGGCGGCAAAAGCGCAACGACATCGAGTTGACTTCAGGCATTCCGAAATAATCATTGTATTGCTGCTTCAATACAATAGTTTACATTTAATTATTGATTTTTACAAATTGGATGACTTTTTCCAATTAGTTATTTTGTATTTACAACAAAGTACTTTATTTTTTTCGTAAAATCTAGTTTTTTCTGCTTTGCTTTGCGTAAATACGGAGCTCGACTCGACATTTAATATTTTATGGGGAAACCAAGAAGAATGTAGCCCTGGCGTGAAGGCGGTCGTATTCAAGCCTGGCTCGACGAAAAACTTCTATTCAGTGGGTACAACGGCCAAGGCGAGCTGAAATCGCTCGAGGCCGCAAAGCTGTGCTCGCACACCGGGCAGTTCAGACGGACAGCCATTATTGCTTACACGAAAATGAAGAATCTACTTAGGCTTGTAAGAGTTACGTTCGTCTTCATTTTCATATCCCTCGTCTTCTCGCACTTATTACAATTATTGATACACAATAAATGGTAAGATTTGTGCTGAAATCTACTTATAAGTAGTTGCAAACGACTACTCACGGCTTACAAAAGTGGTCCGGATCTACTTATTCTATTTAATTTCTCCTTCATAGTGCTGCCGAGTGGCTTTTCGCAGCTACATGTAACATACTTCTACGTTAGTAACCCTCGCACTCAGAATTTCTAGTGCAGGTGGTTATTTGATGATACTAACGTTATTAACACCAATTCCGTGCAAGAAGGGGTCGGTCTGAATGTTTGTATCTTTCTGGATCGGCCAATAAGACCCTATTTTACGACAAGGTATCGTTGAAAAGCTAAGAGGTTGGATTTTCCGCCAATCACGTATCGAAGAAATATTCAGTTACAGCTGAGAAATTTTGCAATATTTGTTTGGGGGTGTCAAAACAAGGATGCTGAAATACGAAACTCCTGAATAGAATTTACGTCTTGACTTAACTAAATTAAGAACATCCTAAAACGGGATGTTGTCAGATCTTTTAGGAGCGTGCAGTCTGCACGACCGACCGAGCTTTGAAGGCAAGTATCTACGCTCTCACTGATCTAATTGAATAAACTAGCCGAGCGCCGCCGCTACGCGGCGGTAATTTCGGTTTTACTCCAGATTTTTGCCTTCCCGCCTTCGCTTCGCTTCGGCGGGATAATTAGTCCAAATCCTCTGAGTCCCATATGTACGTAAATCGACTTCTTTAATTTCATAAATCTGCGTTTCATTTGCTACAAAATGCTGAGTTCCCAGTAAGCCGTGTAAATATTTCTACCGGTACAAAAGACTGAGCCCCTAGCATCATACTTACCATGCTCATAAACGATTACGCTAGTGATCTTGGCAAAGTCTCTTTATTGTTGTTGGCTATCACTGTACCTTAATCTTCCACCCAGAAGCACCTGCACTTCAGTCTAAAACCGCTAAATAAAATATTTAGTTTAGCGTCGTGCTCGATTTCACGGGCCGTTTCTGAAACCTAGATTGCATCAATGCAAAGAATATCTGTCCAGCTTGCATCAAATACCCGCTTGTACTGCCTGGTTAAGCTTGTAATAAACTGCCTATTAACCACTTCGCAAACCAAACTCGCTACTTTGAAAGAAAATTAAAAGTGTTACAGTTTGAATATTTAATAAAAATATTCAAGCTGTAGCATTTTTTTATGCCTTGAAGTGTGTTCATTTTGTGCTGATTCAAAATTAGTCATTAGACACTCCAATCTGTGCCTGTTATGGTTATAGCCTTTGAATATAACCATGCGTCGCAAGACGCCTTGCTGTTGTACGGCGGTATTTTTATTTGATACTTAATTGATGATTCCAAAATATTAGGCTCTAAGGGCCTACTTATAATAACCAAAATTGACACCTCTCATGTTGTGCTGTTATCTTACCACTGCATATAAAACCTTATTCTACGCCCTTGTCGGCAACGCGTCTACCTATTAAGAACTATCAGATTTTTGTTGTCTAAAAAAATGCTAAGGAAACAATGGTCAAGTTCAATTCGCTTACAGTAGTAATTGTCATCAGCACATATAACTTCTTTTTGTTCACACGTCAATCTAACACTATATATCTTTGTGGATCAAGTGACAACGTTTATAAGCACAGTTTTGTTCTTACGGCCAGTCTACACGACCGGCTACTGCTGTACATGTAACATGTACGATTTAGCAATACCAGAAACCCACTCAGATAACTTATTAATGCTAATATTTTTGCAGTAAAAAATGAAATTTCATTTTAGTCAGTGTAACACACAGATCCTACTGAGTACAGAGTATTTAGTATACTTAAACCATGTCCTCGGAAACACGCATGCTTAAATGTACGCTAAGCACCCTGCCCTCCGTTTACTGTAGTATTCAAATATCAATAACAGCATGCATTATGAAAAAGTATTTAATATTGAAACGATGCCGCCTTCGGACTTTGTGCAAATCCCCATATGTAAACTGGGAAACACATGCATTTATTGACGTCAACTACACATTCTAGTTTTAACCAAACGAAGCCACCTTCGCTGCGCTCGGCAGCCAGTAGAAATATTTAAATTATTTTATCCAATGATTTGTCCGGAAAAGCGTGACAGGCACGACAATTAAGTGTGACGGACAGACAGGTTGCTGCAGTAGATGTTTAAGACTAGCCGTTCGCCGCCGCTACGCGGCGGAGTGGCATGGTTTGTTGGAGATGAGGTGGCCGCAACCTTAGTGCTTCTTGGTGTCGCGTGTTTTGAGAGCGTGGTTCACCCCGTAGATCTTGGCATCGTGTATTTAACCACTTGCCTTCCGTAGTCTCATTCGGCCCCGTATAATATCGTGGTTTGGAACGTTTCCGTTACCCCGTACTACAGGTTGGGTGTTGTTTTCTTCAATGGTCCATGCTCTTTCGTGCTCTTCCCGGCTTCGAGGTTCCTGCTCACCCATGGCCCACGCTGCTCAGCGGTTCTGTCCTCTCTCTTGTGGGTTCATGCTCTTTAGTACGGTCTTTTCGTTAAAGCTAACTGTTTTCCGTTCTCAAACGTTTACGTAGGTTGCACTGGCTTCGTGGTAGATACTATTTCGTTACCATTGGCCTCCCATCGCCAGTACTCTAACCAAAGGGTGCTATTTCGTGCTTTGGTGCCTCCA